ATAGTATATTTAACTACCTGTATGCCTGCTTCTCGGTTCAGACTTACTTTGCAGTGTCATTGGTCCACACATTCATGTTTTCCAGCAGTGTCTGAATGCCAATACTTCGGGTGAGGTGACACTATAACAGAAAGTACCTGGACAAGGGACAAACGTAACACTTTAGCTGACTGTGCAGCTGCACAAGGGCCCTCTGGGAAGTAGGGGCCTTTCATTGTAGATGTACATGATATGCATTCTAGATGTCAGATCATTCTTTTCAACAGTGCACCATTGGCTTCAGAGTCAAACGTAAGCGGAGCACTAAGCACATTTGTAAAGCACATCACTGTACTTTATAAATGTGCCATCATGCTTTTATCAGCAGTATGGCCTTGGTAAGGTTTTTTTTTTATAAATGGAGCTTTTAAACTTATCAGATTCCATTGACAGAAATTAAATATGCAATATGGAGATGCATACACGACAGCTGCTCCTACGCTTTTTCTTTTTATTCCTTACTGTCTGTAAAGCTTCTTCAGAGCCGTACTGAGGCGGAGTGAATAGCCGCACATAGTTCGGCTCACTTCACTTCGGCTGGATTATTCATTCGGCTGCCTTCTGCAGCTTTGTGAATAACCCCCACTTGTGTAGTTGGGATAGGAAATGAGAAGATCTTCCCAATAGGGAAATGGGGATGCAAGCAATCTAAAACAGCTGTGAGAGGTTGTATTTCTTCTCCACTCCAGAAGAGTTTTGGTCTGTGTTCTACTTTATTACTTCAGAGCTGAATCCATTCTAAAATGTCAAATATGCATGACAACAGTATATATAAATCATATAAGCAAATGTTAGAATAATAAAATAAAAAATTATATTAAATATCTCATCCTGTTCTAATCTGCTGAAGGAGTGATGTTCTGCAGAATCTTCCGCAGTATACCAAGATCTCACTGCCCGCTGTTCCATGGAAAGAAAAGAAGAACATATTAATAGTTTTCTGCTGTATATTATTTCCCTGCTGTCATATCACAACAAATACTTGTGCTCCATTTATACATTTTTGTGTCAAAGTTTTACTGTGTTTCTGCTTCATGTGTTTTCTATTAAAATCACTGGAATTGCATCAAAATGCATTTCATTGCGTTATAATGTGCGTCAACTGTGAAAGTCGCAGCTGCTCTCTTTTGACACTGCTTGCTTAACAATGAAGATTCTTACCAGTTGTGTTATAGTTATAAAAGAACTCGGCACCAAAATGTTTAAGGCTGGATGCGTCTGCCATTAAAATCAAAACGCATCTTAACACGTGGGTTAAGATGTGCATCAACAAAATGCATCATGATGCATGCTGGCACGTCACACACGTTAATGTGTGTTATCAAGAGTTGACATTAGGTATCAAGCGCATTACAAACTTGTTGAAAACACGCAACTATGCACATTAACGTTTTTCCCCTGATACATTTTCATTGAAATGTATGCAATTCATAAATAGTAATGCATCATAACACATGTCAGCGCACGTGAACCTACGTTGCTGTGCTTTGCAAGGCACTTTGTGTTCAATGTTAACACACATCATTACAAGCATAAACATGCATCATGATGCAAGTCAACGAACATCTTAAGGCTGGTGTCACATTGATGCATTTTTCCCCCCAATGTGTCTCATTCACACGATGTTCATACCTGTTGCTCTGTTTCAAGAGCCACTTTATGTTCTGACATATACCTTCTTTGGACCTCGATCCTTCTAGGCAGCATGGTCACCAGCACAATCCACAGACAACCTAACTCTACAATAAGCAAATGGACAAAGAAGTTACCAGCACTCCAACTGTGATGTAACTTCATACTTTATTGATGCAAGTCTGTCTATCACAAAGCATATTGCACATCCGTACAGCATGTACGCCCGTGCAAAGACCCGATCCCAGAAGGAACAGGTGCTGCGTGTAATTGTGTGCAGCATCCTGTACCTCCCTAAGGGAGGACTTGGTTGCATACATTTACATGCAGACCTGAACCTGCGCATTCATGTGGGTCCAGGTGCCTGCACTTGAATGCACACTGTCTGCATCCAAGTGCAGGCACCCGGTCCTGCACGGATGTACAGGTTTGGGTCTGCACGTAACTGCATTTAACTGCGTGCAGCTGCATTCTCCCATAGAGAGGTACAGGTCATTTCATGCAAACACGCACAGCACCTGTCCCTCCTGGGGTGGGGTCTTTGCCAGGGTGTGAACACTTTACGGATGTGCGCGCCCATATAAATGAGCACCTAATGTTCATAATATGCAGGAACTAGTTAAAACAATACATTTACTACATCACATTCTTTAAGGAACAAAGGTGTAAAGCAGTCCTACTGATATGCATATGGCTATGTCAACCCTTTGTCTTTAACACTTTCGCTGCCAGTTTTTTTTGTTTTATTCTTTTTTGCAAACCTGTTCAAATGTTAGGTCTTAAGCTGGCCATACACTTTGTGATTTTCCTTCTGGAATTTTCGTTGCTGCAAGAGCCATCTTTCGATTCTAGCTCAAATAGCCCATCATGCACGGACCAATGTCATCTTGATAATCGCTCGTTAGCAATACTAGCTCACTGAATTTCGTCGATCGACAGAATGGATTTTCGTTGCACATGTGCAATGTTCATGTTGCGATTTTTTTCGTACGAAAACTCCTCTAATTCATCGCTTTTTCATTCCTTTCGATAAAGGTTTTCCAGCCTCAACCTTCGAGAAGATTTGGCCAGGAGTACAGTGATTAAAATCGTTGGTGTCCCTGATCGATTGTAGTTCGAAAAGACCATTCATGGATGATTTTTGAACGATAATCAATAGGTGTTTGGCCAGCTTTAGAATTACTTAAAGGAGAACTATGAGGTGAGTGATTTCCACGCATCCTCATAGTTATAGCCGACCTGTGACAAAGAAACTGTCACAGGTCGGCTCCATCGATCGGGAAGTGAGCGAACACATACCGTCACTCGCTGACTTTCCAATCGTCTCCCTGCAGGGAGCGGTGACTGTCAGTCACCGCTCCCTGCAGGGATCCCCCCCTCCCCTCTCCTATCCTCCAGCGCTGACTACAGGAACGGATGGGGGAGGGGGCGGGCAGAGTTGGCTCTGCCTCTAGATAGGCAGAGCCAGCTGTCACTCACGCAGCTGCGTGGATCCAGACAGTATTATCGGAACACGTCCAGACTGCGGTGCTCTAAGTATATCGCGGGCAATAGCTTGCTATATACTGTGCTTTGGGTCATGGGAGGAGGTCAGTTTATGTCCTCCCGTGACCCTAAGGAGAACTATGGGGAAAAACACTTACCCCATAGTTCTGTTATAAACTTTCCTGAAAGCAGAGACTGTGCAGAATACAAATGGTGGCGGTTGCATTTTTTTATGTCACGCTGTTTATCAAGCCTAAATTTTCAGTGTAGACTACATTCATTTATTTTACGCACACAAATTTTTAGGTGAAATATAAAAAATGAGGCTGCATCGAGTAATTAGATACAAAACATATCAAGCCTTAAAATTGTGCATGTCCGTGAATCTGTGAAAAACTACAGTACCCACAATTGTCCATAGGCAACACTTTAAAAGCCTTAACAGTGTATGTGCCTATAACAGTGATCGGTGGCCCTAGAATTACCGCTTTTACGCGTGCAGCAATACATAACATGTGTTGCACAGTCAGCATTTTTGTGCTTAGGAGCACCTGACATGTGCGTTTACATTTGTATGTGTGCATTCATGGGGCGGTTTTATTAAACCTTCAATTTATAGGGTTTTTTTTACTTAAGGCTCGGAGCGTACAAGTCCCCTAAGTGATGGCATAGTGCAGGTGACAGGTTCTCTTAAGGAGACATCAGGAGTCTATTAGACTCCTGCAGTCACCTCTGCACTAATTTGAAGCTAAACGAGCACAGATTATGCTTGATTAGCTTCTTCCCTGGCTGCTGAAACCAAAAGTGATGTAAAGCTTCTGGTTTCCAGTTTTGAACATCTCTGAAGTCCCTGTGCTCTACCTGCTGACAGCCGCCATGGACGGGGCACTCGGAAGGGACAAGTAAGCCTAGGATTCCTTGCAGTGGGGGGGCAGACAGTGGTGTATTTAGGTTTAGGGCTGCCCTAGGCAAGACAAATCGCGGCAGATACGCCCCTGGGGGCAGAATGTAAAAGCACATGTGTAAGTGATCGGACAATAGAGATAAACTGGGGCTTGGTGTGAACTCCGTTCACCTGAGTTCACCCAAGCCACTCAAAACCATGACCGACACCACCAAGCAGTCGATAGAACACCGGCCCTCCTGCTGACATGGAACTACAAATCCCATGAGGCATTGCAAGACTAACATTTACAGGCATGACTCCCAGAGCCAGTCATGTTGGAATCTGTAGTTAAAAGCACAGCTGGAAAGCCAAAGTTGTCCACCCCTGCTTTAGCATATGCCCATTATTGAGTACAATGTAGCCACAGAACACTGTACGTTATCTACATATCAAGGCGTCTTTTTTCCTCATGTACCTAAGTATTACATTACATGACACAGCACAGACTCCTTCAATAATCACTGAACTCTACAATGATTCAGAAGGGTGACACTTGTGACATGCCAGGTTCTTGGATGACATGACAGTGTCATACGGTGGACGGTTTCTGACAAGCTCAGTACAGACAAGTGTACTGTATGTACCAACACCATAGGGGGAATCCACTACAACTGGAACCGCTGTAATAGTAACCAATCAGCTTCTCTATGAAAATAAAAGCTAGAAGCTGATTGGTTGCCATGCACAGACGCCACCACTCTTAGTAAAGCCCCCATGTATCTAGGGACTCTCTATGGATGCATTCAATGCCACAGGCTATCCAGTATATAGGTGAAGCTGCTGATCAGCTCTATACTTCTAATTAGAAATGGACGGGGTAATCCCTAACGCGTCCTTATTCAATACCGATTCCTCCCAGCTTTACCGTCTACGGCTAACTCAATGATCACGTGACAAGGTTGGGCTCGTCACAGGGCACATGATACCATCGGGGGTCATGTGACCGCGCTGCTGCGATGGCTGGCTACAGGGAGATGTACGGGGAGCCGAGTGATATCACATTGCAGCAGGAGAGACATTATTACCTGCTGTCCCAGCTGCAGAACCTGGTGAAGGATCTTTCTAGGTCAGGAGAGTATTGTCATCATGAATGATGTGTGTGGGTGCTGGGCTCGGGGCACACTCCACATATAAGGCTAGTTATAACATATAGACACGTGTGGGAGGTAATTCATCACCGATGGTTGAATAGATGTAGCACTATAGCCTTGCCCGGTGCATTTTGGCTCAGTGCTTTCATTAATAGAAAATGTGACTTTCGCTGTAAAGTGACCCTTTCCTTTGCTAACCCAACTAAAGAGTCATGTAACCCCCTTGCCTCTTTCCAACAGCATACTTGCCATCTGTGTCCAGGCTATCATCATTTCACTGTTTACATATTCTTAAAGGGGACCTTCATGCAGGAAAAGTCACTTTGCCTCATTGTAACACCCCTTGCAATCTTTTTCAGTGTGTTTATAGACATATTTGGCTCTATCCTGCCCCTGCCTCCATTCACACCTAGGTGAGAATGATGTGTAATCTGGTCCTGCATCCTATAGAAGTTAAAGGAGGCATCAGCTTACAGGCAGGAGAAGGAAGGACCTGGCAGCATGTCATCAGGGAGCTGGCTGCAAGATCCAGGAAGAGACAGCCAGCTTCTGATGACAGAAGAAAAGAAGATAGCGACGTGGGACCCCACTTGCAACAGCAGACTGCAGCAGAACAACGCTGGATTAGCTTGGCGTATGTTTGTGGAGAATAACCCAGCAAATGAGGTAAGGGGGATTGAGGAAAAAAAATGTACATGGGTGGGTGTGATGTTTCTCATTAAGCAGCAAATACGCATTAAAACGTGCCCTCAGTGACGTCTGTAGTGCTCTGGGAGCTCAGAGAAGTGTTGGCTGAGCTGTTGGCCAGGAATAGTGAACAGATTATAAATGGAGTACCGACTGTCACTTTAAACAAGCCGCCTACAGGCTTCAGTGAGCGTTTAGCAACCGTCGGCACTTCTGGAAATTTGTTGAAAGCCTAGACGTTTGTTCGAAGTGCACCTTGCAGTCCACAACAAGTAGGGACTATATATCAGAAAATGCATGCCATGCACGATAAATGCAGCACAAGTGGCATAATTCCAGCCTGAAGCAGAATTCTGGTTAAGGGAGTACAAACATACTTGAAATGATATGCCCTGTATGTGCATTTTCTGTATATTTCCCATGCTGCCCTGCTGGCTTTGTGACATGCATTACAGCATTCTTAGCTATGTAGCCTCAAAACAAGGCCACTGGTAACCTTTATGATTTGCAGAATGAGTAGACCTGGTGCACATAATTACAAGAGGAAAGACTGTACACGTGTGCACATGTATATCCATCAAATGATTATGTTGTGACTGGGATTTACATTTTAATCCTCAATCTCCTACAGCAATTCTGCATTATTTATCAGTTGTACTGACTGTTTGATTTTTGTTGTCCAGCTCCTGTCAGCAACGCCTGTCTTACACCATTCTTAGTGATCTGGCCTTGGCACTGATTGATGGCACGATATTTGAAATTGTCCAAGGACTGTTGGAGATTCAGCACCTAACAGAGAAAAATCTCTACAACCAGCGGATAAAGCTACATGCAGAACACAGAGGTAATGATGCAATTTACACCTTGAAGAATGCAGCACAGCCAAGGAGACATTTAATATAGATCATTTGAGGGAATAACGCTGAACGCTATGTAAATATGCATATGTCATACCAGATTGTCCACTAGGGTTCCTGTGAATCATTGTAGTAGCCAGAGCTACTGCTCCAGTGCAGGCCACAATCTTCTGGGTGCTAGTGCTGTGCTGAGTGCACCCTTAGACCAGGTTCACACTTGGGAGATCCATGACTGCGCGGCAATCGTGCGCAGAATGCCGTGCGGTCACAGAGTCGCCCACCACCGCCAATCATGCTGGCGGTGCCATTATTTTTTAATGGCACCTCGATCGCATGGTTTCCCTTCGTGATTCCGCTTGTGCAACCGAACACAATCGCGGCTAAAACAACCGCACGTTGTGTTTCGCAAAGAAATCTACATGTTCCTTTTTTCTGCGATTGCCACGCGGATGTAACCCCAGTAAAAATCAATCACTGTGTGCAATGGTGTACAATCACGCGTCCCGGATCTGCACCAGCCCTTAGTGCCCATTCACACTGAGCGTTTATTCGCGCATATTTGCTGTGCGATATCGCAAGAAGTCGCTCGTCCAATGATTTTTAATGGAGCTGTTCTATTCTACAGCTCCATATCGCCTGTCGCAGGACCCTTTTTTTGCGCAGATGTCGCGTGAGTTTGCTGGGTTTGCATGCAGCCCAATAGTGAAGGTCGCGCGATCGTTGCCTGGAAAGTCGCGCGGAAATCCGCTCGAGGTACGTGTCGCTCAGTGTGAATGGGGCCTTAGTAGTTTTATCAAATAAATGCAAGATTTCCTCTGACTGAACAAGGGGCGGATCATGATGTTACTGTCCCTCGCCCAAACAGGGAACAATAAACTATGGAAATTTTTAAAAAATCCTGAAATGTACTTCCAATGGCTCTGTTTATTACATATACGCTGGCCTTTGTCAGGCAAAAAAAAAAGCGAATTATTTTACATAGCAAGATCAACATTCATCTATGTACAAACTAGATATGTATTCACACCATTGCCCTGAATTGAAAAAAAATTCTAGAACTTCTGTGTGATTATTACTACATATTGCAAAAGCAATGCAAACACGTCACCATAAACATTTGACACACCTACAATGCAGTTGACTTCCTTTTGAGTTTTTATACCTGCATTTTGTGGTCTAGTGCAAGAATCTCCAGCACAGTGCAAATACACCTATTCTTCCTTTCTCTGAAATTGGGAATCAAGCTTAATAAAACCTAAGATAATCAATAGGTCTGACTATTGGTGACAGGCGTGTGTTGAAAGGAAAAATGGGCTCACCAGCTATTGCTGTTTTATATGCACTGAGCACGCTGTGTGGATCATAACATGTGTGAGAGATCCATCTTACTGGAGTTGGATCAAGTTGTCACAACATAGGTTTTAGACTAAAGAATAACTCCGGCCAAAACCTTTCTTAATCTTTGCAGTGGGACTACCCCTGCGCTGCAAGGTTTAAGTGCTCATTTTGGTCTAGGTGCAAAAATAAAGTTATACTCACCTGAGCCTCGCAGCCGGCTGGCTGTTAGAGCGATCCCTCCAGTCTGTCTTCTTCACTGCAGTTTTGTTATGTCCTTTGGTGTCCTCACATCCTACACACCATGTATTGGATGTGATAACTCATGGGACCATAGACTATTGCAGCGGAGGAGGAAAGAGGCTGGGAGGACCACTCTAAGAGCCAGCCAGCTGCAAGGATCGGGTAAGTAACTTTTTTACTTTAGCACCTGGACGAAAGCGCGCACTAAATGCTTGCAGTAAAAATCTTGTGGATCGGACACCTTTTGGGAGTAGCAAATTCCTGGTTCCCTGTCGTGTGCTGAGGTTCCCCCTGCCTGCCCTACATTACTACAGGACACAATAGTGACATAGAGACCAGCAGGAAAAATCACAACACACAGTAACTGAGAACCAGTAATCTGGCACTCCCAAAAGTGTCCCATACAAAATCATTTTTCACTGGTGGCTTCTCTGCAGTACAGCAGAGGTTAGCAGTATGGGCTATGGGACAGGTGAATCTTCCATTTGTTTATTTTATTTTATTTGAGTGACAGATGATGAATTAGATGCTTTATATTTCTGATGCAGTGTTATTTATTTCCGGAATATTAGAGAAATGCTTTAAGTTTGTCTTTTGTTTTTAAAAGCTTTGAAGCAGGATCTCCTTAAGAAGCATAAAGAAGCTCTACAGTCATGTAAAGCACACAATTTACCAATTCTTAGAAATACGCAGCAGAGGGAGCTAGAGGTAAGGCATTTCATATATAATTCGGGTTTACAGCTCTACAAGGAGGTGGGAAATTGTGTGTATACAGTTATGGCCAAAAATATTGGCACCCCTGCATTTCTCTCAGATAATGCACCACTTTGGCAGAAAATTATTGCAATTACAAATGTTTATTTCTTTTGTTTGTATTGATATGACACAAAAAAGTGGAGAAAAAAAAAGCCAAATCTGACACATTCCTCGCCAAACTCCAAAACTGGATTGGACAAAATCTATTGGCACCCTCAATTAATATTTGGTAGCACGGCCCTTGGAAAATTACTGAAATCAATGGCTTCGTGTAACCATCAATGAGTTTCTTACACCTCTCTACAGGAATTTTGGAGCACTCTACTTTCGCCAACTGCTCCAGGTCTCTCAGATTGGAAGGGTTCCTTTTCCCAAATGCTGTTTTGAGATCTCTACACAGGTGCTCTATGGGATTCAGATCTGGACTCATTACTGGCCAGTCCAGTACTCGCCTGTGCTTTGTCTGAAACCATTTCTGGGTGCTTTTGATGTGTGCTTTGGGTCATTGTCCTGCTGTAAGACCCATGACCTCTGACGGAGACCCAACTTTCTGACACTGGGCCCTATATTACACCCGAGAATTCTTTGGTAGTCTTCAGATTTCATAATGTCGTGCACACAGTCAAGACATCCAGTGCCTGAAGCAGCAAAG